TTTCGTGGCTGAGACCTCACTGTTATGATATCATTGTGTTATTTTTTTGCCTCGTATACGTCACGTGACACAATCCTTTGTAACCCAGACCTCGTGGTCAAGTGTGCGCTTTTGGACGATCCGAGATTAAAAGCTTGTTGATGTTTGAGCTTGTTTGTTGTCCTTCGTCCATCATAACATGGTGTCAGAAGTGGGATAGTCAACCGAGACATTAAGTTTACTGTTGTTGCCGCGATTTCTGAAAGCTTAAACGCCTTGTTCGCAGTTCGTAGCTGGTGGTGAAGGCTACAGTCTGCGTTCATTCATAATCACAAATATGGCCGCTGTCAGCACAACCGCCAAAATTCCCTCGCCGCTGAATTTATCCGACCGTTTGCACCAAGGAGAGAATTGGAAACTGTTTCGTCGAGAATGGAAGTTTTATGAATTAGTAGCTGGCATTCATAAAAAGTCGGAAGAAGTTCGCGTTGCCTCTTTATTAAATGTCGTTGGAAAGGAACGTGATCAGTTGCCAAGCGAGTCCCTTGACAGCTACATAACTGCATTAATGAAATTGTCTGAGTCTTGTGGTTTTGGAACGCTCCGTGAATCGCTTGTTCGCGACCGATTAGTTCTGGGAGTGAAAGATGACAGGGTTCGTGAAAAGCTCCTTGGAAAGCGTGAACTCGATTTGGATAAGGCAATTGAAACGATCAAAGCAAGTCAAGTTACTCATTCACGAGCATCGGAAATTGCGGGTGAAATATCAAGTCAAGAAGATGTAAGTGCTGTGAAACACAAGTCTAGAGCACGACAGAAAGGAAAGCCTCGCAAGAGTTCGACTCTGAACCCATCGTCTAACAGTAAGTCTAAAGAGTGCCTATTTTGTGGTGGTAAACATGTGCTTGAAAGGAAGTTATGTCCAGCCGTCGGACAGAAATGCAAAAACTGTGGCAAAGTTGGTCATTTTGCAGTCAAATGTCGCAGTGGTAAGTCTGAGAAAGTTAATGTCAATGATGTTGAGGAAGTTTACTACATTAATAATGTTGGTGGAAAAGATGAAGCCCTTGTTCCTGTTACTCTAAATGACACTGCTTCAGTAACATTTCAGATTGATACAGGCTCTTCAGCAAACATCTTACCACTTGAAGATTACATTAGAGCCACTAATGACTGTCAGTGTGCAAACATTGTTCCTAAAGATATCACTCTGGTTATGCATGATCATTTAAAGAGAAAGGCATTGGGTTTTTTTAGGTTGAGAGTAGAGCATAATGGCAGCAAGCATGATTTGAACTTTGTTATAGTTGATCGAAAGGTTAGACCTTTGCTTGGTTTGAAGTCTTCTCAAGGTATGGGCCTTGTGAAAATCATGGTTTCTGGTGTTGACACCACTGTCAACAATATTAATGCTGTTCCAGAACAAGCTGTTCCTGAAAATGTTTCATCAGACTCTGTTCTTAGCCCCTTTGCTGATGTATTTCAAGGTGTTGGTTGTCTACCTGGAGAATACAGTATTCAGCTGGATAAAGAAGTGCGTCCCGTCGTTCATCCCCCACGTAGAGTCCCTGTACCTAAGAAGGAAGCAATGAAGGCAGAGCTTGATAAGATGGTGACTAACCAGATAATTGTACCAGTTACTGAGCCAACCGACTGGGTGTCTAGTGTCCTAGCTGTTCCCAAAAAAGATGGTTCAGTCCGCATTTGCCTGGATCCAAAAGATTTGAACACTGCAATCAAGCGTTCACACTATCCCTTACCTACTGTCGATGATGTTACTTCCCGACTTACCAAGGCAAAAGTGTTCAGTGTAATGGATGCAAAAAGTGGTTTCTGGCAAGTGAAGCTGTCAGAGAGCTCCAGTTATTACACCACGTTCAATACCCCATTTGGTAGGTTTCGCTGGTTGAGAATGCCCTTTGGCATTAGTTCTGCGCCCGAGGTGTGGCAGCGCAAAATGAATGAGGCAATCGAAGGTCTTTGTGGAGTAGAAGTCATCGCTGATGATTTTCTGGTGTGTGGGTTTGGAGACACTGTCCTTGAGGCAATCAAGGACCATGATCAGAATTTAACTGCGTTTGTCCAAAGGTGCCGCAAGTTAAACCTGACACTCAATCCTCAAAAGGTCAAGCTCCGCATGTCTGAAGTACTATTTATGGGACATTTGTTAACTGCTGATGGCATCATTACCGATCCAAACAAAGTCCGTGCTATCAAGGACATGCCCACCCCAACTGATGTGAAGTCACTGAAGAGATTTCTTGGAATGGTCAACTATCTGTCAAAGTTCCTTCCAAACCTATCCAGTGTATCTGAGCCGCTGCGTCGTCTTGAAGTTAAAGATGCTGAGTGGTGTTGGCTTCCCGTTCATAATGAGGCTGTCCAGAAAATTAAGGGTCTTGTTTGTGAAGCGCCAGTGTTGAAGTTTTATGATGTTATTTGAGAGGTTACAGTCGAAAGTGATGCTTCACTTTCTGGACTTGGCGCCACCCTGCTTCAAGAGGGTCAGCCAGTTGCTTTTGCCTCTAGGGCATTAACGCTTGCTGAAGGCCGTTACGCTCAAATTGAGAAGGAACTTCTCTCAGTAGTTTTTGCGTGTGAGAGGTTTGATACCTACCTGTTTGGCCGGGACATTGTGCATGTGAAAACTGATCATCAGCCTTTGGAAACTATTTTTAAGAAAGACCTCAGTTCTGCGCCCAAGCGAGTCCAGCGCATGTTATTGCGGCTTCAGCGCTACAACCTTGATGTGAAGTACCAAAAAGGAGAGAAAATGGTGATGTCAGACCCTCTCTCTAGAGCCTATGTGGATGACCCGCCCTCGCAGACAGAGTATTGCCATGAGCTTGAGCACATCGTTCTAGATGATCTACCCATCTCTGATGCGCGCCTAAACAGTTTCAGAAAAGCCACAGCCGGTGATGCTAGCCTTCAGATCCTAATGTCCACAGTCCTTGAAGGATGGCCTAGTACTGAGGATGGCGTCCCTCACGAAATCAAGTCTTACTTCTCCTGCAGAGCAGACATCACTGTCCAAAATGGTTTGCTGTTTAAGGGTGAACGCATCATTGTACCCTCCCAGTTAAGAAAAGAAATGATGGAGAAGATTCACTCGTCTCACCTGGGTATCGAAGGATGTCTCCGCCGTGCAAGGGAAGTGTTCTACTGGCCCAGGATGAATGCCGAATTGAAAGATTTTATTCTCAAGTGTGATGTCTGTAACTCTTTTAAGCTACAGCAGCCCCAAGAGCCCCTAATGCCACATGAAATTCCTAGGAGGCCCTGGCAAAAGGTTGGAACAGACCTGATGCAATTTGATGGACGCCAGTACTTGATAACCGTTGACTACTTTTCCTCGTTCTTTGAAGTGGACAAGCTAGAGAGCACTGATTCCAGAACTGTTGTTGAGAAACTGAAGATGCAGTTTAGCCGTCATGGGATACCAGAGATAGTGGTAACTGACAACGGTCCTCAGTACAATTCCTGTGAGTTCAAGAAGTTTGCAGAAGACTGGAATTTTCAGCATATTACCTCTTCGCCCCGCAACCCACAAAGCAATGGAAAGGTGGAGAGTGCAGAAAAAATCTGTGAAAACATCATGAAGAAGGCAGCTCGGGGAAAGTTTGACCCTTATCTGTCTCTCTTAGACTATCGCAATACACCTACGGATGTTGGCTCCTCTCCATCCCAAAGGCTTTTCAGCAGAAGAACGCGCAACCTGCTACCGCTGACACCCAAAAAGCTTGAACCTGTGGCAGTGCCACCGCAAGATGTACAGCAAAGGCTAATTGCCTCCAGACAAAAGCAGGCGTACTATTACAACGTCAAAGGAAAAGTACTGCCTGAACTACAACCTGGTCAGATTGTCAGGATGAAGAAACCAAATGAAAAGACCTGGACTGAAGCTGTTTGCAAGAAAATGATTGGACCACGATCCTACACTGTTAAGTTGTTTCTGGTAACCGCACATATCGTAGAAATCGTAGACAATTACGTTTGGTTCCAACCACTGATCAAGCAATGTGCAGTCCTGTGAGCAGTAAGCAGTCACGTTCTACCGATGATAGTCAGGTCCTCACCCAGTGTGCATCACCCACTAAGAATTCTGAAGGACCCAAACCTGTTTCAGCTGATTCGAGCATAACAGCTCTTCCTGCTGATTTGACATTCAGTTCGGCCATCACAAGGAGTGGCCGCACTGTAAGGCCTCCAGCCCGTTTCCAAGATTACATGACTTGAGAACTTTTCCGAACAGTGACTTTGATTTAGAAACATTTTAGGACTTTTATCCCCTGACAGTTAAGTGTATTTTCTTTCAGTTCTTTAAACAGGGGAGGATGTTATGATATCATTGTGTTATTTTTTGCCACGTATACGTCACGTGACACAATCCTTTGTAACCCAGACCTCGTGGTCAAGTGTGCGCTTTTGGACGATCCGAGATTAAAAGCTTGTTGATGTTTGAGCTTGTTTGTTGTCCTTCGTCCATCATAACACTCACCTAATAACTGTCCGTGAAATTTTGGGCCATATAAAACAAATGATATAATCTTCGTTTGGTTTATTTTTTATTCAAGATTATAAGTGCTCTAGGTTCACACAAATTCCCGTATTCCTCAGTGGGTTGTTGTGTTTTTTGCCTTTATTATGTATAGTAAAAAAATATCCTGACAGATCAACTGGAAGCGTTTCAAAGTTAAAATTTTAAGTCCTAAAATTATTTTTTGAAAACATAATTTTAGGACCTAAAGGAAACAGAAGAACAGAGGAACCTCTTCCCCAGCATTTTTCAATACATCGCCATGGTAGTGGTGACATTGCAGTGAATGGACCTACGTGCCTACCCTTCTCAGTTTCCGCATAAATCTTACAATTGACTACCTCAAAGATCTTTACCCCCCCCCCCCCAAACAAAGCAAATGAGATCCACTAAACGCGTAAAAACAAGTTGGACTATATTGCCACGTATTGCTAAGAGGTATAATGTTCAACAGAGTGGATTTTTCTTCATTTGAAGCAAGATGTGTACCGAGCAAGAAGTCCGTGTGCAATTGTTGTTGGCTTTCTTTTTCATAGCTGCACTTTCTTACCAAGACGTTGAAGGTATAAAAGAGAATATTCATCTCTGTATTTTGTTTTTACACTTATTTTTATTTTTTTTACTTTTTTGTATTTCCCAGCGCTGAGTATCAAAATTGGAATATGCAATGTCACCATTACTACTCCTGGTCTGTTTGCGTGTGAAAAGGTTTCCTTTGAGAATCCTTTCAATGGCGGGCAGGATGTGAAAGTTTTCGTTTCCAAAAGACACGCCACAGACAGTCATAGTGGTGGAGCTGGCGCGGCTATTTGGGTGGAATCTGTGGATAATAAAGAATTCACAGTTTGTGTTTTGGAGTACGGTGATGGTTCTAGTGGGACTACGAAAGTGAACTGGATGGCGCTGCAATCTGTTCCCGTTGGCGCTCAACTAGACACCGTCTCGTTGGATTCTTGGACCACTGGAGAAAAGTATAAAAGGATCGCCTTTGAAAAGGTTATCTCTGTTTCACCTTGCGTTTTGTTCATTTAAATTTGATAAATCTGACTGATTTAGGTATTTCTGTCTGCTCAAACGTAGACACAAGATTTCACTACCTTATTTTTTTGAGCTTTGCTTGACTAAGTGGCTTTAACTTCCTCTTTCTTTATTAGCTTCTAGGAGGTGCAGACCTTCCATTTGAATTCTTCCTTATATCTTTTAGTCATGCGATATAACATTGCTGCATTATATAATACGATTCTTTATTCGGTTTCCAAGAACTTACATATATTGAAACCTCTATTTTTTTGCATCAAAGTTATGTTGCAATCTGTCCTCCACTTTTCTTTCATTTTAATCTTTTTTATTTAAATTTCTACATCTTTAAAAAGGTTTAACAATCTTCATATTTTTTTGCTAATGTTTTCTTTAAAACATTTAGTGTGAAAGTCTTTGTTTCGATTCCTTTTGTTTCTACGTTGCCAAGTTCATGATTACCGTTTTATTTGCAAATTCTGTGTTTAATTCGTAAAACTCTCCTTAGTTTTTTATCTGCAAAAATTCTATTCAATTTGCTTCTTTCAAATTCAAAAGATTTTTTCTATCACACTTCCATCGTTTTATATCATATCCTTGTTTGTTTAAAAAATAAATGTTGTTGATTATATATTTCCTTCTCTTTTACTTTTTCAGCGTTTCTCAATTCCTCCGAGCATCCATGTAACAGCTCGTCACCAAATTCTTAAAAGACCTCAGGACGCCTTGGCGTTGTGGGTAGAGGGTGAACGCAGGGACAGTTTTAAGGTTTGCCTCAGGGAAACTAAGATTTTTGATGGGCTGCATAAAAACATCAAAGTGGTAAGTGAATTTCTTTTGTTACCTGTTACATGTTTGAAAGTAGACACACGACAAGATGATAATTAACCAAACGGTTCCTCCCTTGCTGCAATTTACAGGGGCTGTGCTCTAGCAGACCCCTGTTGTCCCTGGCGCTGTACCGTGTACCTTTGCTCTTTGCCTACTAGGAAATCGTAGCTTTTTTCAAAGATATCCTATGTTGGGTACCCTGTGATTTACACAGGTTCAAAGCAATGGGCTCCCTTCTCTTAGAAACAACGTTGACTTGAGAAAGAATATATTGATAACATTCTTAATACTTTTTCACTTGTCCTTCAGGACTGGATAGCATTTGTTAAGCTGATGACGCTGAATTCTACCTTAATCCACGGCCTTGTAACAACAAAGAATAACTCACCACTAAACAAGCAACAAAGCAAGGCCCTCTGTCAGGTAAAGTAACTAATAAACTATACTGTTTTGGTTTCTCAGTCACTTATATTCATAAACAGAAAATATCGTCAACTATTTAAACAACATATTATCGTCAACTATTTAGACAACATATATCATATACCGCATATGTGTAGAAAAACTTAATAACGCTGATTCTTTTCTTGTTTTTTTATAGATAATAAAGTTCACTGATGCTTTCTATGCCCCTCCGATAGTAATGGTTTCACCAAGACTCAGTTACCATAACAACAACTCCCGTTTCTCGGCTTCTGGAACTTGTAACGCAGTTACTGTGTGGATTCAGGTAACATATGAAACTTGGAGCCATTTTTCTTAGCCCATTGCGTCCTTAGGCTGCCTTCTTATCTCTTCCCTTCGAACTTACTTTTAGCATTGTCTCTGTTTCAATTTTTCACGTCGTTTAAGGAGTCCAAAAAAGTTTTTTTTTATATCATATACCGCATATGTGAAGAAAAACTTAATAACGCTGATTCTTTTCTTGTTTTTTTTTTCTCTAGATAATAAAGTTCACTGATGCTTTCTATGCCCCTCCGGTAGTAATGGTTTCACCAAGACACAGTTACCATAACAACAACTCGCGTTTCTCGGCTTCCGGAACTTGTAACGCAGTTACTGCATGGATTCAGGTAACATATATGAAACTTGGAGCCATTTTTCGTAGTCTATTACGTCCTTAGGCTGCTCCGTCCTAACTTACTTTTAGCATTGTCTCTGTTTCAAATTTTCATGTCGTTTAAGGATTCCAGAAAGGTTTTTTTTTCCCAATTTTTCCAACCAACCTGTGCACGCCACGGTTTCGATTTGTAAACGACCTTTGGTAGTGACACAGCAGTTAAGGTAAGAAAATACCTGATGATGCTTAATGATTGATAATCTGATACTTCTAATGATTGTGTCTAGCATACCTTTACAAACGAAACCGAGGTGTGTATGAGAAGATACAGCAATAACGCCAATTATAAGGACATCGTACAACTGGATTACCTGGTGATTGGAGGTACGTAAACAATAATTATATCAAAACCTTGGTGAAGGCTGTATGCTGCAGTGTATCAAGTACATTTTATGACATGAATCTTTTGAAGTTGTTTCATGTAGAGCTTCTCTTCTCTACTTGATGCTATTTTTTGTGTTGTCTCTATTTTGGGGGATTGTAGATTTGGTTGACTGAAAGAACATGTTACTACTATAATTTCGTCGCAATAAATTTGTGTATTCAAGAAAATGAGATTTTTTTTGAAAACTTTAAGGACTAAATTTCTTTGGCACACTGGTTCTCCTGATCACGAAATTAACCGGCTCATATGTGATGTCATAAGACAAAAATCCAGGAACTGAAACACGGGATCACCGGCATTCTTATCCTTTTCTTAGAGTCGCCAGTGTTGTTGCATATAACTGCAATGCACCTTATTGGCATCTTAAAGCAGTTTCAGTTTGTAATTAAACGAAATTTTTGTAGAGTCTATACTTGTTTTCTTGCATCTAAAGTCACGTATCCCTTAATTTATGTTATAGTTTCTTAATCTACGTCAGAGCCCCTTTTTTTCTGAAACGGATCCGAGTGAAGACTTGCACAAATGGTGTGCCAAAATGGCGGTAAATTTGAACGTGTCAAAAAATTCTCTTTAATAACATTGTGTTCAAAGCAATTTTTTTTTCGCGCACTTTCTCATAGTAATGTGCATTTTCAATTCTAAAAAAAAAAAATTTTAAGGTATGGGCACTTTAAATCTAATCTGTTGTTATTTGCTTAATTATCTTCAGACCTGGATCCCTGCATAGACGTTACGTGTTATTATCACAGCTTCTGTAAGGCGTTTGGACCCCATGATGCACGCTGTGTATGTGTGGATAGCTGCCCATCTTACAAAGAACCCGTTTGCTCATCAAATGCCACAACATACGACAACAGATGTTTGTTTGAAAGAGAAGTTTGTCTACATCGACTAAACTTTACCTTGCAACATCCTGGCAGCTGTGAAGGTTAGGACAGTTGTTTTTGAATCTGTTAAAAAGTGATATTTGTTTTTATTAGATTTCAGTATCTTAGCGAATTTTTGAATCAGATATTTACTTACCCTTGTAATCTGGAGGGAAAACGGCGATAGATGAGTGACTTTATGGAAGTACAGAATTTTACGTAATTTTGCTAAAACGTTTGACAGGGACAATGCTAATAAGAATACTGGTCAGAAAAAGTGGCTGATACACTTCTGTTTTAAGCATTTTCAGTCAATACTCAACGAAAATATTTGTTGTTTTTTTTATATATGTATAACTGAAGCAAATTTAAAACTGATTCTTCTCTCTGAGATTAGTAGTATAGTAGTAGAAGTAGTAGTAGTAGTAGTAGTAGTAGTAGTAGTAGTAGTAGTAGTAGTAGTAGTAGTAGTAGTAGTAGTAGTAGTAGTAATAGTAATAGTAATAAATTGCTTTATTTGCATGACCGCATCATTTTACAGTATTGCAAAAGCATGTATATGACAATCAAAATATAAAACAAAACAGCGCTAATAATAATCTAGAAAAATTCGGTTACATTACTAACAATGAATCACGTATTTTCATGCAGGAGGAAACAAACTTCATAACTAACTTATTTACATGATGTTCCTTCGAATTCATTATCAGTTTTATGCTTTCTGGAGATGATTTCTTGTCAAAGTCAGGTATTATTCGATTGATTTGATTAATAAATGCCTGTCTCTGTACTGAGTATTTGTTACATTGAAAGAGGAAATGAATCTCATCTTCTACCTGATTTGAGTTACATAAAGGACATAATCTATTTTCTCTTGGCAAATGATCGATTTGGTATCGACCATGTTCAATCATAAGTTTGTGATTACTTATTTTAAATTTAACAAAATTCTGTCGTTCGTCATAATGTCTTAGCTGGTAGAGATAATCAGATGTAGAATATTCATCTTTAAAATTTTTATAAAATTCTAGTTTTTTTGAATTTTCGAGGCTGTGCCGCCAAAAAGATAGATTTTTTCTCTCTCATTTCTGTGGTATATCGTCTAATTTTATCATTATCTAGAGATTCAGCATCTAAACTGGTTAGATTGTATTGTTCAAGCATGTTTATGAAATTGGAAAAATATCCGGAATTATTCATAGAATGTAGATTCTTTGACATAAGGAAAGACTGTTTGACTATAGAGTCATTATCTTTGTTGT